AAAGAAAAGGAAAGGGAGGGGGGAAGGGAAGCAGAAATATATTATGGATTTTCATTTAAACATTTATACAAGCTGGAAAAAATAGTGTCTGCAGAAGACCTTTGGAGGTTTGCAGGGGCTAAATTCCTAAGATAAAAGACACAGAATAAGGTACTTCCACATGTGTTAAATGAAATCCCTATAATTCCCAACCTGCAGGTCCAAACTGGCCAACATCAATACTTGGCTGATAATTCTAGAAGGTAGTTTGGCATCGAAAGGATACTAAGCTGAATGATCATTTAAATCTTCCAATAACCTACTAACAATTTTGTTAAGAAACATTTGAGCAATTAAGAGTACAGTACAAAATCAGAATACCTTGGTGCTTGTAGAGGGGGTCTGAACGCTGCCATAAGAGACTGAAAAAGTGCCAGAGCCATCACAGTGCTGCCAAAATAGGGGTGAAAACCTGCTTGCTATATTAAAAAAATGAATGTTAGTTATAATTAGGCTTTTTATGTACTTCGTTTATCTAAAAGATTTACTGTACATAGCTGTCCTATGTTACAAAGCATAACCCTGGGAAGCTTACAAATAATAATAAAAATTAAAAAAAAACATTAAACCAGCATAAACACCCCACAAAACAGCCCTTGGTTTTCAAAGATTTAGTGAGGATCAAGAAGGTAGGGACCAGCCACTGGATCCCAAGGATGCTCCAAACTTGGCAAGCAGCACAATCATTTTCCTTTTTTGCAACATACATATCACAACAGTAACTTTAGAATACTGTCTTGTATTTAAACAGGGGATAAGGACAGAATACCAAGCCCTTGAAATAAGATTTAAATGATTGTTGTTAGATTTTAAGCAGATAAATCCATATTTATCTTGTCACTTACTTTATTCCAGCCTCCTCGATATATAAAAGGAAGAACAAAAGATATGCTTGTGAGCAATATTGTTATTATCATCAAGGAACGATGGATCTAGAAAAGTTATATTTAAAAAAAATAACATTAGGAAATGCTAAAGAGTAGCCTATTACACATATTCTATTACTAAGAATGTTTGATAGAAAATTCATCAGTTAAGAATAGAACAAACAAGCAAACTCTGGTATAAGACCTTTTGTAAGGCTTTAAAATCTTGACTATGTACTCAGGCCTGGGTCTTGGAATATGCTAAGGGCTCCATTTCCTAGATTTACTGTTAGTTGGCTAAGTATCTCCTCTCTCTCTCCTCTCACTCTACTCTCTACTCTACTCTACTCTACTCTACACTACTCTACTCTACTCTACTCTTATTTATTTGGCTGAGACAGGCAGCTAGTAGAAATTAAATAAATAAATGAATAAAAATAAATAATAGTAAAACATTGCCAGACATATTTTGTATGCATCAATATAGAATAAAGACTCCCCACAATTCATTTTCCCCACCTGAAACCAAATCTCTTCTCCAAACAGTAGAGTATTAGTCCAGACAGGCTTGAAAAACCGGGCAACGATCACCCCTATGCTAACTGTAGTTATCCATCCAATAAACATTAATGCACCTGAAAGGAAAAAAAATACAAGACACTTGATAATGACTTGAGTTGCAGTGCTAAGAAGCACTTGCTCTTAAAAATACGTTTCCATTTCATTTCAGAGTCAGAGAAGAGCAAAAGACTGTATCAAAGTCATTTTAGCTGCCTTCTTCCCTTATTTATTCTATTACAAGCTAATCATTGCACTGTATTTTGTTTGCAGATTTTGAATACCCACAAGATGTCCACATGGCCAAAAAGATATTTCCATAGTATTTTCCCAAGTTTCCCTGCAATGTTTTCTGGAGCAAAACAACTTTCTTTGGAAGTGAAGACAAAAGTAAAATAATCAAATCTTTGTGAGCTATCCGACCTGTTAGGCAATAACAATTGGACCTCTTCATACAACTCCACCCCAAGCCATCACACAACAAGAGCCCCATTTTGTACATATGCATTTTATAGTGTTTTACAAAAATTAAACTTGCCATGGATTTTGATCAGGAATGGAGAGCGGGATCCTCCAATATCTTTTAATGGACTTAGAACGTTGTATTTTCCGTTTGTAATCAGAGGCTGTTGGTGGTGTTTGTAGATTGCACCTCCTGGGGGGGGGGGGGTGGGGGGGGGAAAATAATAGATTATGCACTACAAGCAAAGGAAGAGTAAATAACATTCTCTCCACCGGTGAAGACTTCAGAAAAGAAATTGTTTGCTGCAGAGACTGGTTTCTCTATGTGGTTCCAATTTGCTACCCAAAGTCAACCCCGCAAATGTTTCTAGGTGAAAATTAGCATTTTAATGCATTCCACGTGTTGACATTATAATCCTTTGCCATGGAAAAATTAACAACAGTATGCAATAATATCATAATTATCAGTATGCTGTTTATCTCTGCTGCAAGACAATTAGGTGGTGCTATGAATTTAGGTGATCCTGTCTCAATGTCTGAAGGGTGTGGACCAACCTAGTGGCTTTGGGTTTTGGGGAGCCCCGATTCTGGGGACATTCCAACTCTTGTTCTGGATGGGGTTGCACAAGCACCAGCAGGACCCTGTGCACAATTTGGGGGTCTCTCTGGCTCCTAGTGTATTCAAGGGACAAGTGGCAGCTGTGACCAGGAACAACTTTACCTAACTGTGTGTTGCATGCCAGTAGCACCCATTGCTGGCCTGGGAGGCCCTGCCCACAATCAATCACACATCCCATGTGGACAACTACAATGCACTCTACAGGAGGCTGCCCTTGAAAAGTATTGGAAACTTCAGCTTATGCAGAATGCAGCTATGCGAGTGGGTATTGTGCACTCTTCATTCGGCACAAGTTACACCTCTACTCTGCAAGTAGTATTTATTGGTTATCGGTTTGCTTCTGGATTCAATTCAAGGTGCTGGTGATGACCCTTTAGGTTACTTGAAGGACCACCTCTCTCCAACTATATCTGTCTACATCTAACAAAGGTATGCTCTACATTGCACCTACTAGGGACGTCATCTGTTGAGGCCCAGGAAAAGATCTTTTCTGTTGTGTTCCATCCTTTGAAACATTATCCCCCTAGATTAGCCCCAATCCTACTAGAATTGCATAGGGCCTAAGAGACTTGGTTTTGCTACTGGTGTGGGGAACTGAGCGTGGATAGTGCCCTTACGGTGGCTATGTTGATTATTGTTGATGAGTTTTGGTATGACTTGACTTTGAACTGTGTTTTTACATGGTTTTTATATTGTTCTTACCACTTAAGAGTTTTTTTTATTATTGGGTTTTTCATATTGCTTTTAATTGCTCTGAGCCATCCAGAGTATTCTATTTGAAATGAATGGCTATATGAATTGAAATAATACATAAATACACTGCTCAAAAAAATAAAGGGAACACTTAAACAACACAATGTAACTCCAAGTCAATCACACTTCTGTGAAATCAAACTGTCCACTTAGGTAGCAACACTGATTGACAATCCATTTCACATGCTGTTGTGCAAATGGAATAGACAACAGGTGGAAAGTATAGGCAGGTAGCAAGACATCCCCAATAAAGGAGTGGTTCTGCAGGTGGTGACCACAGATCATTTCTCAGTTCCTATGCTTTCTGGCTGATGGTTTGGTCACTTTTGAATGCTGGTGGTGCTTTCACTCTAGTGATAGCATGAGACGGAGTCTACAACCCACACAAGTGGCTCAGGTAATGCAGCTCATCCAGGATGGCACATCAATGCGAGCTGTGGCAAGAAGGTTTGCTGTGTCTGTCAGCGTAATGTCCAGAACCAGGAGACAGGCCAGTACCTCAGGAGACATGGAGGAGGCCGTAGGAGGGCAACAACCCAGCATCAGGACCGCTACCTCCGCCTTTGTGCAAGGAGGGATAGGAGGAGCACTGCCAGAGCCCTGCAAAATGACCTCCAGCGGGCCACAAATGTGCATGTGGCTGCTCAAACGGTCAGAAACAGACTCCATGAGGGTGGTATGAGGGCCCGACATCCACAGGTGGGGGTTGTGCTTAAAGCCCAACACCGTGCAGGATGTGTGGTATTTGCCAGAGAACACCAAGATTGGCAAATTCGCCACTGGTGCCCTGTACTCTTCACAGATGAAAGCAGGTTCACACTGAGCACATGTGACAGACATGACAGGGTCTGGAGACGCCATGGAGAACGTTCTGCTGTCTTCAAAATCCTCCAGCATGACCGGTTTGGCAGTGGGTCAGTAATGGTGTGGGGTGGCATTTCTTTAGGGGGCCGCACAGCCCTCCATGTGCTCGCCAGAGGTAGCCCGACTGCTATTAGGTACTGAGATGAGATCCTCAGACCCCTTGTGAGACCATATGCTGGTGCAGTTGGCCCTGGGTTCCTCCTAATGCAAGACAATGCTAGACCTCATGTGGCTGGAGTGTGTCAGCAGTTCCTGCAAAACGAAAGCATTGATGCTATGGACTGGCCCGCCCGTTCCCCAGACCTGAATCCAATTGAGCACATCTGGGACATCATATCTTGCTCCATTCACCAATGCCACATTGCACCACAGACTGTCTAGGAGTTGGGGGATGCTTTAGTCCAGGTGTGGGAGGAGATCCCTCAGGAGACCATCTGCCACCTCATCAGGAGCTTGCCCAGACATTGTAGGGAGATCATACAGGCACGTGGAGGCCACAGACACTACTGAACCTCATTTTGACTTGTTTTAAGGACATTACATCAAAGTTGGATCAGCCTATAGTGTTTTTTTCCACTTTAATTTTGAGTGTAACTCCAAATCCAGACCTCAATGGGTTGCTAAATTTGATTTCCATTGAAAAAATTTGTGTGAGTTTGTTGTCGGCACATTCAACTATGTAATGAACAAAGTATTTCATAAGAATATTTCATTCATTCAGATCTAGGGTGTCTTATTTTTGTGTTCCCTTTATTTTTTTGAGCAGTGTATAATTGTGGCATCAGAATCTCGTTAATGGCTAAGATTTAATTTCCCAATGTGTTAATTTACAACTCTCAGCTTAATTTACCAGTACAATAAAAATGTTGTTTGGGAATGATGAGAGTCACAGATCATCTGGAAAGCAATCCAAGTTAAACTGCTTGGGCATTTCTTAAAAATGTAGTATGAAGTCTTGTATGAAATTTCCATTGCTATTCATATTGTGAATCTGCAATAGAAAGATCACACATGTACCAATAAAAATAAGGAAGGAGGGATTTATTTAGTTTCATATTGACGGCAGCTGCAAGCATGGTATAACTCTACAAAGTACAAATGCAATATGTTAAAGACTCAAGGAAGAGAAAGGTTGCCATATCTGTACCTATTATTAACGCTCTTCCATAACCCCATTAAGATTAATCATGAATCAAGAATTATTTTTCCTTCTCCAACCTAAACATTAGCTAGCAACAGGTGACAACCAAGTAATGCTTGGAATTCAGCATGAAAAATATGCCTGATGTGAAACTTAATTTAATGTTTTTTTCCTACAGTCATAAACTTTTTACCTGTACTGATTTCACCATCAGCCAGAAATATGTAATAGTTTGCATCCAGATTATATCTTCCTGTAGAAGCTGGAAGGTGAATTTTTCTTCTGAAAGAACACTGGATAAGGTCATCAGCCAGTCTCCAAGATGTATTCTCCAAAGCACTCTGGAAAACAGGCAATGCAGATTTAACTTTTGTATCTCAAAAGATAAACCATCACATATATTGCAACTGCTTCTGTCAAAAGCTTATCAGGGACCTATCATTATCAAAGAAAGAATATACGAAACCCAAACAGGTTTAATTAGTTGGATTTTATGAAGCAGATAAGAAATATTTAGCAAGACAAGTCAGGGCTGCTTCCCATTATAAGTTTAGTGACCTTCTCAAATGTCTTCAGCACCATCCTGCTGGCTTGTAAACTTTAATGCTTTTGAAAACTAAAGACCAACATGTAACTAGACTGATCATTTTTCAGCAGCCAATTTGGGGCTTGCTAAGCCTATTGATCACATAATTAAACAAAAACTGGATCCTTCAAATATGATATGGAATCATTCAAAGAATACTTCAAACCTCAGTCCTCTTAACTCCGTTATCATGTGCCGTCTTTACCGGTTTTCTACAATACCAGTAAAAACAGGTATACACTGAACTTGTCAGGAATGAGGCAATGATTTCTCTAATATTTATTGTTGCAAAATGAAGCCAACTGAATGCAAACACCTTGATCCAAATAAGGACCTAAAATCTTGATAGTGCATTTTTTTCCCTCCGAGATATACTAATCTGTGTGTAGAATAATAACAACCATATCTACATTCTGTAGAAACAGTTGAAGAAAGGCCCTATTTATTGCTTTATGCAGCAACATAAGAATTATATAGAACAACTGCATACAGACATATTAAGTTTAGAATTCTCCATTACATACTACTGTGCAAAATGCATAAAAATAACTCTGCAGAGAGCCAGAGACAGGATAAAGTTTCCTAAAGTGCAACCCCTTCAAACAGCTTAACTTCTGCAGTTGTTTTCCATGATGCAAGAAGATTTTCATACAGAAGTCCAGATTCTGTATGACAAAACGGGACAAATATCACAGGTCTCCATGGGTTTTGTTAGCAAGACAACTTATCTTGACATGTTTGTTTGTACTGTGCAAGGTATTTTGTAACAAGGGCATTCAGAGTTCAACCCTGTAATAACATGAAATTACAGTACCTTCGAGTCAAATTCTGGATAAGATCGCCCAACCAGGAAAGCTGTCCTGATGACAGCATGATGAACTTTACTAATGCAAAGATATGCATCATCACCACCACCCTGGAAATAACAAAGAGATTATTAAACTCTTTTTCCACTTTACTTTGCCAGTCTATATGGCCCACATTCAAATTCAGAGTAAGTTAATAATTAAATCCAGCCTCCCCAAATGGCATCCTCTAAACATGTTACATTAGGCATGCATTTAACATGCTAGCAGTGGTTTAGTCATTTCACAAATTGGTAATTTTCATTTTTTTTATATCTTCTTTCTATCCATTTTTTTTTTAAAGCGCTGTTTATCACTTGTGGCAATATAGCACCTTGTGATCTTTGTAACAGCATTGTGCAAGTATGATTCTAAAAAAGGCTTGAATTGTGAGAACCATGAGAATTGTATGTCAATCTACAAGCATTACTAGTTGTAAATTAATTTGGAAGGTATCAGGTTGGAGAAGGATGAGCTAGAGATGCACCTCTCTGATGTTTTATTTATGGTAGTAAACGCAAAGCTATGAGAATCATTACATTCCATCTTAAAGGACAAATACCGGTGGCTGAAAAATCTGGTAAAATAATGCAGGGTTTCATTAAAATAGTTTAGGGACAAGTTCATAAGAAATGAGGCTTAAATAAATATGTACCATTGGCCCAATACAAAAGGGAATATGCTAGTAATTATGCAACATTTATCCTATTATCAAGAGTTAAAGAGTCTTCACGGACCTTGGATATTAATGCACAACCTCCCATAATTGCCTGGGAATTCCCTCTCCCCCATATTTTCAACTATCATAATCTCACTGCAACATTTCCAATAAGAATGCTAGAATCTGAGATTTCATGATTGCACAAGATTTTGACCACTTTTAATGTGCTTAACTTGGGCAGAATGCAGCTAGAATAGATGCTGTGCTAACTTTTTTTTTTTTTTTTTAAACTATCCCTGCTACAAGCTATGTCAGAAAAGCATTACTTATCATGGGCAGTTTAATGAACAAATTTATGTAGGAAAAATTTTGATGAACACAATGTCAGCTTTGGAAGCCATATTAGTACCAGAAGCTTCCATGCTGCCACATTCCTGTGCCTGGGAAAGTAGGAGGGGGGGAATGGTAGAGTGTTGGTAGTTAGACATAATAGCATGCTTCCCTTCGGTCAAGGTCATGTTATTCCTGCACCTGAAGGAGGACTGGTTGAAGGGATGTCTCTAGCTGGGGTGGATGGTGATTGGACCATGTGATGGGTGCAGGGCTTTTGAATTACTAAGGGAAAACCCGGAACTCTCAGATTTCGGTTTTCCCAGATGTGCCAGTATACTACCCTAAATAAAAGGAAACTTTGAGAAAATGCCTGTTGCAGAGTTTTTAATTGGAGTTGAGTTTTTCTGGAATGCTGACACACCACCCTTTTGCTCACGCATACTATAGAAATTACCCAAGTTAAAACACTAATAAACGGCCACAGGAGTAGCCTCAAAAGGTGCTGCCATTTTTCCAGGTGTCAGAAGACTTACTAACCATCCACTGATCATGAGATAATGCAAATGCAATATAGCCTTCACTGGGACCACTCATTTCAATCCACACGGAGTCATTATCTTGCTTGAAGGAGAGAAAGAAGCAATTGTTGGATTTAGGATCACAGTGTGTTGGATTTCTCACACAGAATTTGCGATCTCCACAGTCTGAAGAGTTGAACTAAGGAGACAAAAAGCAAGGTTAAGTTACTCCACATACCACTGCTGGAGAAATGGGGCATTTTCAGAGCATCAGTAAGTTATAGGATTTAAGGAAAATACATTTCCCACAACCACAAAGTTCTATTTACCGATTAAAAATTGTGCCCCTAAATACTTTTGTGGCTCTCGGCACAAGAACCATTTAATAGATGAGCCTATAAAATCACACAATCGTAGAATTTGGTTAAGGGGAATGTAAAATAAAATCAAGAGAAGAACTGGTGGCAGAGGGATAGGCAATGGTATTCTTATTTACAACTATTAGAAAGATTTAAAGTAGATAAATAAGTTTATGGTTTTGTAAGACTGAATTTGAAATAGAATTGTATGCAGATGATGAACATGTAACTGCTAAAAGGTATAAAGTTTTGTTGAAATTTGAAATAAGAACAAGTGAAAATGTATGATACAGGGAGCTAAAAATCTAGTTATACATTTATTTGTATTGCAATGTTTCTAGGCGGCCCATCTTCCTCAAAGAAGGACTCTGAGCAGCGTACAGTATAATCAACTTATAAAACAGCATATAAAATTAATAATAAAACATTAAGATTAATGTAGGATTAAAGGTTTTTAAAAATGTAAGATTATAACATTAGAAAATTTTATTTCAAAGAACGAAAAATAAGAATTCCAAGATGGTCATTTAACGTTGGTAATAAGGCGGAGAGAGGATTCTCATGGCACCAGCCATCCTCACGGTTACATGCACCTTTGTGCCCCCTCCAGCAAGACCAGGACAGCATGAGTCCATCTCACCCTTAGAAGAAGAATGTTCCATAATGTGGAGGGAGTGGCAGAGAAGGCGTTCTTCCTAGACCCTGCCAGTCAAAATTATTTGACTGCCAGGGTCTGCAATGTATCCTCCCTGCCTGATTGAGTGGGTTGGGCTGATGCCATGGGGCACAGCTGGTCCCACAGGAAGCCTGGCCACATGCCATGTAGAACTTTATAGGTTATGACCAATACCGGACCCAGTGCATTTTGCGGACCAAGGCTGTTGTGAGTCTAACAGGATCCTCAAGTTATGCACTGGGTCTAACAGGGCTAGTGTGACTCCATCCAAGACCGAAAGTGATAAACTCCTAGATACAGGGGGCCCACTCACAGCCACTCTGCCTTACCAAGGTTCAATTGAAGTCTCTTATTCCCCATCCTGACCCCCACAGCCACCAGACACCATGAAAGTATGTCCACTGCATCACTCACTTCACCCAGGAGGGAGGTATATATCTGGATATCATCAGCATATTCGTGATACTTTGTCCCCTGGTGAGAGGTGATCTTACCCAGCAATTTCATGTACATGTTAAAAAGGAGTGGAGAAAGCACTTAGCTCTACAGCATCCCACAAAGGAGAGGCCATGAAATAAAACCTGGAAAATTTCAAAAACACACACGGATTCCGTAGTTTTTAAAAATTAAATCGAGACCAGAGGTTTTTTTTGAGGAGGATCGAAGGACAAATCCCAATAAGGATTTTGTTCTTATACCCGATAATTGCTGCAAGATTAT